AAAAAAAAAAAAAAAAAAAAAAAAAAAAAAAAAAAAAAAAAAAAAAAAAAAAAAAAAAAAAAAAAAAAAAAAAAAAAAAAAAAAAAAAAAAAAAAAAAAAAAAAAAAAAAAAAAAAAAAAAAAAAAAAAAAAAAAAAAAAAAAAAAAAAAAAAAAAAAAAGAGCCTTAATCAGAAAAGCATTTGCACACCATTCCTGAATGGCAATTACTTCTCCATACTCTGGGACTATCCTTGACCTCTTCAAACATCTAGTGGGGTCCCCCCCCCAGATAAAGGAACTAATGAGGTTTGACATTTGAAATGCAAGCACTACTCAAGAAATGGATCTCTAATTAAATCTTTACTATATTCTAATGCTGATGATACATGGAACAAGTTGGTATCTTTATGTGTTCCACATAAAAGTATTTAAGTAGGCAGCAGTGACTAGACATAATTATTCATAGAGCAAGAAGAGAAAAAAACATTGTTAAATTCCAAAAACAGAGCTGAATGGCTGGAAAAAAGCCATGGATCCTTCTTCTGACTTGATCATTTGCATGGGAAAGTTTATGGGGAATTAGGGTGCAGTACAGCATTTCTGAACCATCAACGTTTTTCCTTGTGCAACATTTACAGAAGATAAAGGGCTTGTGCCAGGATGGAATTGTATTAGTAAATCACTTTGCCCCATCCTTTCCTCTTCAGCCTAGTGGACAGCCTCTCAGTTCCTGTTACTGATACAAACTGGCTTTCTGCATTTCAGTTTCAGTCGGGCTGCTCAGTAAGGCACATCAACTGCTTTGTCCCCAGGAAGAATAATGAGTATGTTAATGGTACATCTCTGTTTTTTCTTACTGGACACGGAAATGGAATCTTTAAATTCCGTTAATGACCTTCCCCAAGTGCTCTGCTCGCTGCACAGAGCAGCTGCATCACCCACTGCTCCAGTGCCGTCCTAAGCAGTGTGCAGGGGAGGAGTGCCCAGCTGAAGCCCAGGGGGGATGTCAGGAAGCAGAGTATCCTGATCTGTTCTGGCATTTCTGCAAGCTGCTCAAATGAATTATCCTGACAAAAACCAGGCAAGGGATTAAAGAAGAAAAACCACTGTTTTGTTTTTTTTTTTTTTGTTCAGAGTTCTAATGACAAAGGACAAGGTATGTTCAGGCACAAGCTGAGTATGGCAAAAGACAATCCCTTTCTGTGCTGAGGAGCTGTGGTAAACAGGGCCTCTGCTTTGGGCATTTTTTGGGAATAAGGAACCCAGCCTCCTGCAGTGTCTTCAAATGCCAGAATGAAGCACCACATCTGATTACTGAGTGGGCAGAGCACTTCAGAGGCACGAGGCAACATCTGCAAGTGCTTGGTCACTCTTTTCAATTTCTGACAGATGTGCATCCCCTCACTGTGTGCAAAGGAACTCCTGGGCAGCATTTCACTGTGAAAAGCCCACAGCCTTGAGAGAGACCCAGAAGGCAGTGCTTCAACTGAGCAGGGCACCTCACCTGGATGAAGTCTGGGAAGCGTTTCTTGCAGGTGGGGCAGGTGAAGTAGCCGTCGTTGACGTGGATGGCCACGTGGTCTTTGAGCAGGTCCAGGCGGTCGAAGGACTCGGGGCAGAAGATGCACGAGTAGGTTTTCTGGTCCATGTGGAACTTCATGTGGCTCTCGAGGGCCCCACTGTTGATGAAGCCCTTGTTGCAGATGTCGCAGGTGAGGGGGCAGTTCCCCTCCCGGCCGTGGAAGCGCAGGTGCTGGTCCAGCTTGTCCTTCTCCCGGAAGGCCTTCCCACACTGCAGGCATTTGAAGGGCCGGAAGGATTTGCGGATGAACAGGTGCTGCAAAGCTGCATTCTGAAAGAAACAGCCCAGGCACCTTTAGACTCCACATCCAGCTATTTTCAGGATTAGATATGCCTGATAAACAGCAAACCTACACTTCAAAAAGTTATGCTGCATCATCTCCTGTCTCCATTTCACAGCAGGGGAGGCTGTGACAGGCAGGAGTCAGGGGACACACCTGCAGCTACACCCTGAGTTAGCAGAACAGGATGCAGTTTCCTCTCATCCCTCATTTCTTCTATTCAGCTGGCTTAGTTTTATTTTACAGGAAAATGCCACGCTAAAGACAAGTCCTCTCTGCAGTACAGACCTGGGCCTGGTCACAAGTTCAGCCACATACAAAGGGACGGTGAGCCAGAGCCGTGTTTCCCTCAGGAGCAGGGCTTATGGAATTCCAGAGCCCTTGACATCACCTTCTCACCAAAGATCACCACAGAGACGTGCAGCTGGAGTTTAGCACTGCCTGGAAAACTTCTGGTGGAGCACACATTCAAGAGGTGCTACTGAAAACCTCTCTGTGGTTATCAAAAAGAAGAACAGCATTTCAAAGCATGACAGCAGGGGCAGAATGGCAGGTTTAGGAGCAGCAGGTGAAAACTTGTGAGCAATTCTCCTCTCCTTCTGATCTCAACGTCTCTTCTCAGCCCCTATTTTGTTTTGGTGTGTTTTCCTTCACTCTACCTTTTCTGTGACATTTCTTAATTGTTCTCTCTTCCCTTTCTCCCTTTCAGGTGAATGTTACAGAGCCAGCCCAGTCCTGATCCAGCAGTGTCTGCTGGAGGAACAGATGCTGCTGTACATGTTGCCTGTAGAAAGAGGCAAGTGTGTCCTGCATCTGCATTTCAATATTGGATTAAAATTTCATTTTGGATAGTTGGAAAGCTGGAATCAGGTATTATCTCTGCATTTAGGAAATCCCACAGCACAGTGTCACCCATACTGCACTCAAAGTACACTGCAATGCTCTAAGCATTAAGTCTAAGCATTATCTACTCTTCTCCAAATTAAGATCCATAAATGGTCATTTATTGATGTCTTCTCTTATCACATGTTACACACAGAAGCCAAAGAAATAACCTGGGTGGCAGGGTTAGATGGGATATTGGGAAGGAATTGTTCCCTGGGAGGGTGGGCAGGCCCTGGCACAGGTTTGCCCAGAGAAGCTGTGGCTGCCCCTGGATCCCTGGAAGTGTCCAAGGCCAGGTTGGACGGGGCTTGGAGCACCCTGGGCTAGTGGAAGGTGTCCCTGCCCATGGCACGGGGTGGGACAAGAGGAGCTTTAAGGTCTCTTTCAACCCAAACCATTCCATGATTCTAAACAGCACCAGAACATTGCTGATACCTCTGCTCACACATATGGAATATGACCCACTTCTCCCTGAGATACATTCAAGGCTTCTGAAAAAAGATTCCCTTGGTTTCCTCTCCCCTTTCCTTGTGGGAATGTGACAGCTGACACAGCTGACATTTGCTGTGTCCCTTAAGTGCCTGCCAACAGCTGACACTGAATAAGTGAAGGTGGGAGCTCTCCTGCTGCAGTGAGGGAACAGCTTGGGAATACTGTGAAATGCTGTGAAAGGATTAGATTCGTGAGCCTGAAAGATCCTTTTCACCATCTGAACTGCAGAGGGAAACCTAGACCTCCATTCCAGGAGAGTTCCACAAAAAGCTAACAGTTTAATACAGGAGCTCCAAATGAACTGTCATCATCTCCATTCTCCATTTTAAAAGAGGGACAGTGGGAAATGCAGGGATCTGCTCTAAGTCACCCCAGGAACTGGACAGACAGACATGTGCTGTGTAAAAACTCATGTGCTGCATGGAGTCACGAGTAGATAATTTCCCCTTACCCACAGAGATATGCTAGTAAAACATAAATAGTTGAAGAAATGCACTTCAAGTCCTGAACTGCACTATTAATTTGCTATTTGATCACTGGTACCTTCCCAGGGAGCTAAGTGGGAAGACAGCAGGATAACTCAACACAGTCCCACTGCTACCCAAGGGCTACAGAAGGGTGAATTGTTTTACTGCTCTTTGGCTAGACAACCTATCAACTATAAAAACAGAAAAAGAGAACTAAGTGTTGTCTTGTTAACTCATAATATTAATCCAGCACAAATAATTGTGCAAACAAATCCTCCAAAACTCTAAGAGGGATATTACAGCTCATCATCCAAGCAGTTTACTCCTATAATATCCACCTTAAATTTGCAATGAATTGGCATGAAAAGAACTAAAGGAATGCAAATAGTTTTTTGGATAACACTTAGTTCTGGACAGCGGTTGCTTCAAGAGGAACAAATGTGACCATTTACAGTGGGGGGTCAGTCAGGAAACACTAAACAGGAGCTGGACAAAACAACAATGGAAGGCAATGTTGGTATGTCCCATTGGATTAGATACAGCAAAAACCCAATGAAACAAAAAAAAAAAAACCTACCTGCAGCTCCAGCTGAGCAGGCAGCATTGAGGGAGAGAAAAATGCAGGTTTTAGGTTATGCAATGGACTTGAAAACAGAAGCCTTGACTTCTGCAGGTCACTACAAGGGCCAGCTCTTCTAACCAGAGTTTACTCCTTTGAGGGTTTTGTCTCAGGAAACACTAAGCAGGACCTTCCAGGTTTACTCTGCAGTTACTAAATGCCCAAGGGGAGTTAAAGGGCAAAGATAAAACCCACAGATAGTCTTGAATGTGTTTTGTGACCTTTCCTGTTCTCCAGGCTGATTAACAATGATGCAGTGCACGGCAGAGCCACTGTGAGAACGAAATTTTTTCAGCAGAAGGGAATAATTAGGGCAGGATGACAATAGGGCAGGGATTACAAGAGTGAAAAAGTTAAGGAGAAGGGACTTTTTCTAACCTCATCTTACTGGCTGCACTCCTTGTTACACAATTGCTTGCATTTCTTTCAGCATGAAGGAAGTGACTGTGCTTTCCAAATCACAACCCTGTCCCTGCCAGGTTCTGGCATCAGCACAGAGGCACTTCAGATACTGCCCAGGACTGAATTAAAAACAAATATTCACTTTGGCTGTGCACCACTATGTTCCTCTAACGTGTTACAAGAGTATCTCGAAGGGTGGGTGTATCTCTTTGCAACTGCCATAGTTAAGGTCTGATCTCCAAGGAAACTCCACAGGCTGTAAGGCAGAGGCTGAAAAATGAACTGATCCTATCAGCACTTGAATCCTGGGGCACCACAGATAACTGCCTCCAGCTAGAATGAAAACACTCTGCCTTAAACCTTAGGAAAGCTGAAGCAATGCCCGAAGAATGATTGTTTTTGATAATTAAATCCTATATGAGTAATAAAGAAGTAGGGCTGCACAAGTCTCTGGATCACAGCAAGACTTTCTACCTGTTCTTTGGAAGTGAATAATGTACTACACACCTAAAACCCAAATGTTTGCTTGCTTATATTATTAAGTACACATTAGTATAAGCAGGTGCTGTGAATAGCTGAGCTGAGTGAGTGTTCAGAGGGTGATTTTTCAGTGCTTAGGAAATAATGCTTGCTGGTTTAGCCTTAACTCACTGCTCATTGCTCACAGGCTGATGCAGTATGGAAAGGTCTGTGCATCCATCCATTTGCCATTCTGCCAGTGCTTCTGGCTTGAAACACCTCCAGAACTCTGCTGAACACGAGCTGCCAGATGCAGGGGAAGATCTGAGGTACAAATGTGTCACTGAACCACCACTGCACTCTCTTAGCTGTCATCTGTTTGTGATGAATTTCCAAGCTAAATCACAAGACAAGTGACTTCAGAATTGCTGTACCTTTCTTCCCATATTCACTATTTCAGAAGATTCTAAGTTCATATCTTGGGTTCCAAAATTCAGGGAAACGGCCAAGACTTTCTCTTCTTACTGTGAAAGCTGTAGCACACTGTGAGCAGTCCATTCCCCATGCTCTTTACTGCCAAAAACTTAGCACCTCTCTTTGTACTCTGTTATCTTCCCTTCAATACATTCAGAAAAAATCTCTCAAGCTTTTAATCTATGAAAATGAAATTACCGGTAGAACCTTGTCCTTCAGAGACTGCAAGAATTTTAGACGGTTAAAAACTGTTCAGTCTTAACGTGCCCAAGCCAAATCCTTCCTTCAAGACATGCATTTTTGGGGTAACACCACCATTGGCCTTGCACGTGTACTGCTATAAACTGCAAGCAAAATTTGTCTCAACATCTTCCTACACAGAAGAGCTCAACTCTCTCCTAATCCATTCTCATCCCCTAAAAATGAATGAACTCTTACCCCCATTGCAGCTGTTACTTTCTTTAATCCAAATTTTACACATGGAAGAAAAAGGAAAAGATTTTAAGCTAAATAAACCCATCTCCCAGTTACACAACTTCAAGGATTATTTGCTCGAATCATTTCCCTCCCACACATAGTAGAGAAAAAAAAAAAAAAAAAACAGCTCACCCAGTTGACACAGAGCTCAGCTCAAAGTGTTTGCTGTCAGTACACAAAGCTCTTAGCACAGGTTGTGATCTCAAAAGCAGGTTTTTTCTACCCCAAAGAAAAGGATTTTCATCACTAAATATCGTCACTTAAGTGGATCTAAACTGTGGCTGTGGCTCCTCTTTGGCAACCCTTTGCAGGAGAGTTCTGAGAGACGCAGATGGTGCTGTGAGCAAGTCATTAGTCTGTGCCACAGCACCACCATTCCACCGGCTGTTTGCAGCCCCCCTGCCCGCCAGCTCGGCCCCACTGTGTTCCCTGAGAGAATCACTGTGCTGGAATCCAACCAGCTCCAACTGCTGACCAGTTCTCACCGAGGCTCGAGATACTGTTGTTAACGTGAGGTTTGCCTCCCTCAGTGCTAAGAAACCCGCTGGGAATGAGGTGCGTTAGATTTGGAGGTGGAAACGACGGCGAGAGGCAGAGCAGCTGCTCCTGGCAGGTGGGTCTGGCACCGCCTGGGTGTGAGGGGAGCGGGGTGTGCTCTGCCATCCCTCTGGGCTTACCCTGATGCGCTTGGCTCTCCTCATGTCATCTGCTGTCATGGTGCTCTGCGTGGGCCCCGCGCTGCCCTCGTGCTGCGGCTGCTCCGGGAGCGTGGGGGGCTCCGGCTGCTCCAGGGCCGGCGGCGGCTCCGGCGCCACCGGAGTCTGTTCCTGCTGCTCCAGCCCGTTCAGGGCGGCCGCTCCGGCCTCATCAAACTGCCCCTTGCTGGAAAAATGCAGCAAGTCCTGAAACCGCAAATCACACAGCTGGTGATTATTCCCCCCACCCACTGAGAGACGCTTCGACGACACTCAGCACACAACAGGATTTCTACGGATTTCATCCCAACCCATGAACACCCCAGCTCCTGCAGTCCTCCTGCCATGTCCACTGATGCTTTCCCAGATCACCTTCACCTACAGCAACAGCCCTCAGGGCCAGGCAAGCAGCGCTGCTGGTGGGTGACTCTGCTGACCAGCCACAGAAAATCAACATTATCTCACCTTCTGCACTCAGGGCTATTTCTGCTTTAACCAAAGATGATGCAGGCTGACCTGGGAGAAATCTTACAACCGAAGTGACTAGTGCAGACCAGGGAAAGGAGAGAATTTCTGTCTCTGTTCTCACTATGAAACATTGCTGTGTGTCGTTAGTAGTGTCTTCTCCTTTCTAACAAACCCTCTGGAGTGCTGGCGAGTGACAAACGAGGTGATTACACTGTGCACTGTGTTTTTCTATCCAGCTTCCAGCTCTGCACACATCACTGGCACTTATCACACAAAGCTGTTTTCCTCCTTTCTTGAATTACCATAAAAAGGGAGGGCGTTGTGAGTGGGAAGCACATGCCAGAAATCTACATTCTTTCCCTGTAAGTTCCAGTAACTTCTCTGGCATGGAATTATTTTGTATTACATGGAAAATAAAAAAAAACAAACACACATAGATCCTTACTTGACACCACTTAATGCAACGGAGGAAACTTTAAAGCACAAGTTAGAAAGCAGAGCACCAGAATTATGTCAGCTCAAGGCTGGTGCTGTCAAAGCACAAAAGTGGGTGTGGGAGAAGAAAACCAGGGTGCCAGGAGGAGTGAGGCCCTTACAAACCAGGACTGATCACCAGAGAGACACTTGGTAGAACAATACACCAGCCAAGTGTCCAGGCCAGGTTTAGGTGGGAAGTTTCCACCCTAACTGTGCTCACATTCTGACTGCCCAGTTCTCAGGCAGAGCTCGTGCCTGGCCTTTAGAGAAGCGGGCAGACCTCCAGAGGCTGGGGACATCACTGCTCCACTGCACAGACACTCCAGGCCTGGCCATGCTCCAAGCTGGCAGGGCAGGAGCCACCCCCAGCCCAGAGGCCACTCACACACATTAAAGTGGGATTGTGCCCACAAGCCCTGTCTCCTCAGAGTGAAGGCTTTGGGAGCAGCACTGTGTGTCATGTCAGCCTGCAGAAAGGGTGAGCCTGCCCTTAATGCAGCATTTAGGGCACTGCAGCAGGAATCCATAGGCAGAGAACACATTCTTCCCTCTGAGTCAGCACAGAGCCATGACCCAGTGAGATGCCAGAGGAAAATTACCACTCCAGATATCAGCTTTCAGCTAAATCATAAAACAGAGCACTGATCCCTTTTGACACCACTCAGAAAAGGACTTAGTGGTAACCTAAGCATGGGCAGCATCAGAGAATTTAGCATTTTACTTGAATGCATCGTATCGGGTCCCCAGAGAATATAACCAACAGCCACAAGCAGAAGAACATTTTGCAATAAGCCTGCCTACAGGAGGCCCTTCTGTTAATATTATAACATCACAGAGAACCATAGCTCAAACTGATTTAATTTCACCAGCAGCAGCTATAAGAGCAGGCCCAATCTCACATTCCAGAAAGGACAAATAGGAACCTAAATTCCCATTACAGTTTTACTGTCTAAATTACTTCTGTGATGCTGCTAAACTGCTGCAATAACCCACCTCACTGCTAAGTGCTCTGGGATGAAACTTGCTGTAGAAATGCAAGTGATTTTACAGCAGAAGGGGAGTAGTGTGCTCTCCTGCAGAGAACCCCAGTTAGGACACAAGAATTACTCAGGGTTAAGCCCAAAGCACAGCCTCAGTTTGCACTAATGCCCCAAATTCTTTTTTTAGTCAAGAGTTTACATCCCACAGGATATGTTTTTCCCTCCTCTCCATCTCCAGAAATATACCTGTGTCCCTTCTTCACACTTTTCCCCATTTTCACTGGTCACTTCCATGCGCATGAATTTGGGAGGGCGCCCGGGGCGTCTGCCTGGTCCAAACCTCCTCTTCCCTCGCCCACGACCTCGGCCTCTGGCTCTGCAGAACACACAGTGCCCCAGGTAAGGGACAAAAAAAAAAAAAAAAAGATGGATTTGGATTCTCCACTGATTTCATGCATTCTTTCTCAGCATCACTGCTGGCCCATTCGACTCTGCAACAATGGCCTGTGGTAAATAATAAAACCTGAGGAAATTCTGGCAGCAGGAACAACACTTTCTGGCTGGTATCTATTTATTCTGTGCTTTATGAGAAACCAAAGTCCAGAAGACATTAAATTTATATCAGTAATCACATGACCGAGAGGGCCACTGGCTTCTAGCAAGTCCTCTGCCATGGCAACTCTCCCAACACCCCGGCATACAGTGTGCTGGAAGCATTTTTAGCAACATGGAACAAGTGCACAAGGAAACCAATTTAAAACCTAGAGCCACAACATCCCTCCCCAAAAAGCACTTAGCCATTGATGTCAGGCACCAATCAGAAGGCAACAATTTTGCAACAAAAAAGCCAAACCAAAGAGAGCCACTCGCTACATTTCAGGGAAAAGAAGGCACCAATGCTCTGTGATGGATATTTGTAGATTTAATTTTTAATACTACCTTGCCAGCCCAAGAAGCAGCCAAGGCACTAGAAGCCTTGTCCTCAAAGCTCTGTATCTCCATTCACCTGAGAAACATCAGCATTTCAATACTGTGAATTGAAATTCACAGTTTTGAAAAAAACAGTATTGAAATACTACAATCTTCTAAGTCACTGGCAAAAAAATCCCAAAAGCCAAATAAGAAAAAAAAAATCCCACTGGTTTCAAGAGTATTTATTTCCTTCAAGCTACTTCTTTCACAGATTCTCTTATACCACTCAGATCCTGGTGCCACCTTCTTTCCTTCTGGTGCCGAGCTGTTCTCTCTTGGGTTGGTCTCTCAGATCTGCAGGGCAAAGCCCCTTTTCTGCAAGTCTGGGAAGGACCACAGTGATACCCAAGAAAGCCAAAGCTGTCAGTACCTGCTGAAGAAGTCCAGCTTCTCGTCGTGGGAGTTGAGGTGCTGCTGGAGCTGCTCCGAGCTCATGAAACGCCGATTGCACTCGTAACAGGGCCAGTTCTTCTCCTGCTCCCTGAGAACTGTGTGCAGTTTGAGATGTCAGCAACAGCATTTCAGCCCCTCCAGTTGAACACCTCAGCTTTGTCCCCAAGCCTCTGTGGGCCATTATCTCTGCCCTGAAGGTTGGGCAGGCTGCAGAATACCCAGCACTGCTCCATTTGGCTTTTCTTTTATCCCCTCTGCAGCGTGCCATGACCACAGCCCATCAACTGAGACACAAACATGTCCTTGCACAATTCACATGAACTAGCAAATGCTCAAAATATTCGGGGAGATTCTGAAATTCACCCTGTATGGAAGAGGACAGGATGGTGTCTCTGGCACGAAGTAGGGGAGATCAATCTAAAGCAGTTGCACATCAGTTTATGGCACAGACACAACATCAGACACTGAGTACAGAAACACTCCTCTCCCAGCAGCAACCTAAAGCTTTCCAGAAACTGAGGCAAAAGGTTAAATTATTGTAATATTACCATGAGAAGAGGTAGTGGAAGTAAGTTCCAATAACCCAATCTAGATCTGGTTTAACTTTTCCCAACCTAGCAGAAATCTGGGAGCACTATACAGGCCATGTACTCTAGAATAACAAGTGCAACACCCAACCACCATCACACAGAGAGCAGAAGAGCCCAAGTTACCCTTCCTTTCCTCCTCGGTTATGTCATGGATCTTCTGGTTCACAAACTCAGCATAAGAGGCAGCATACCACACCTGCAGCAGGAATAAAGGTAACAGAGCACTTAAAACCACAGCTAAAGGGGATTCATTTGAAAATGGCTTTTAAGCAACACATTTACTTCACTTGCCTCAACCACTCACTCACTGCTCCTTTCATCCTCAATAGCAAAGCCTGGTGAGATCAATATGCTCCCACTGAGGAACAGAAGAGCTCTGCTCAGAAAGCATTTCCATTTAATTTTAAGGTCTAGCCTCCCAGTATGAATGTTAATCTAGCACATGGCTACCAGTAGCTCTAAAGGAAATAAGATTAATCTCTTCAAACCCAACTGCATAACAACAGAGTCCTGTTAGTTGTGGTACCAAGAGGAATGGAAAAAATTTTAACTAGGGCAATTTCACATTTCTTTCTGTTCTCTTTACATAGACAATAGGCAGCATCATCCACAGAGACTCATTTAAAGTGTTTCTCAGCTTCCAAAGGATTAGAGCAACACAGTCCTGCTTTGCAAAACAAAGATCTGCCAGGCAGCAGCACCACAGACCCACTTGTGTTCAAGGAGGGATTTAGGAAGCCTTAGAGCCACAGGAGGCAAGAAGACAAAGTTTATTAAAGCCTGAAAGCAGATGCTCACATTGAGCTGAGAATTCTTGCATCCTTGCATCATTTCATCTGTTTGATTAAAAAGGGACAGTTTTAGAAGAGAATTTCTCAGAGAAGGCATGAACAGATTTTCAGCATGGAAAATCCAGGCAGGTTTTAACTCGCACTGGGCCACAGGCATTTCCACAGTAGTGGTGGGTGGCATTTCAAGGACTCACTCGAGGTGTGTGTGTAACTCTGCAGGAATCTCACTGGCTGGGCAAAAGGGAAAGCCTGGAGCTCCTGGAGTAATCACCTGACATGTAATACAGAACTCCTCAGCTTTAACTCACTGATCCTCACAGTCCAATCTCTGGACAAAATCCCCTACATCCACTTGGAGAGGGAACCCCATTACCGAGCTCAGGCAATTGGCTTTCAATTATCAAACCAATTCTACCCTAAAAGATACTCCTAACATATAGAGTAAGAAAAATTATGCTTCTACAGGCAGGTCTGTACAGAGTTAGAGTCTGATTTCAAATTGCTTTAAAAACTGCTGAGAAAATGATGTTTGGATACACTTAAAATGGATTAATAAGATTTCTAGCGATTCAACTTCTGAGATTCCTCCTCTTAGAGTGTATAAACATTCTTTAGCCCTGGTTCAGTGAGTGTGCTTAAAACAGTTGTTCTTCCAGATAAACTGTTGACATCTATGTGCAAAAAGAGATTTGAAGAACAACAAATAATTTCCTGATATCAAAAGTTTTTAGTTCCTCCCTCGATGCTCCAACAGATGTTGGAAGTGAAGGTCATCTCAGCCAGCCTTGCTGCTTTGAGCTCCAAGTAACAAATGCATTTTGAGAGGGAACAAAACCAAACTCACAGGGAAGTCACGATATTCTTTATAACTTTCCACATGCAAAGTTTCAAAAGTTCCAGGAAAGCCGGGTAAAGGGAGAGACCATATTCACTTAAGGCATCAAAAAACAAGTCAAGGGCACACAGGACTAACTGGAACTAAAAAGAATAAGATTGTTGCAACAAAAATTAGACTGCAGCAGTAAACTATATGCAGTGTAAAGCATGAAAGTGAGAGACAAGTAATTTACATAGTTTTATTGAACTTCCTGATTTTCTACCTGAGCCAAAGCTTATTCAAATTCCTTAGTTGGTGGCCAACTACTTATTGACTTTAGTGGCACTTGACTCAGACCATTAGAGAAAAAAAAAAAAAGCCCTACAACTATTTAGAGCAACATTTTCTGACACTTGGACATGCAGTTATTAGGCAGCAACTCCTAAGAGAGGATTTAATCATTAGAAAACAAGGACCCTGAGACACAAGCAATGTCCTACCTTGAGCTCCTGCTTGGGCTCCACGTTTTTGATGGTGGTGTAGTAGATGTGGTGGCCGTACTGATAAGCCACGAGGTTCTGCTCCAGGTGGTTCTGGGCCGGCCGCACAAACATCATCCAGTTACACAGAGCCTCGCTGGAAAGTTCAAACCACAGGTCCTCTTGCAAGTCCCTGTCTTTTCTGTCACCCTTATCAAGTGAAACCTGTCGCAAAATCCAATTACACGTCATTAACTGTCTGGTTCAAAAGAACTGGAGTTACTGACAACTGTGCCCGTGCAACTGTTACATTAGGGGAGATATCTTGAAGGCACAGCTAATTATTTCTCTTTGTTAACAAGGATCTTGAAACAGGCAGGAAAAAGTACTTAAAATGAGTAGAGATTTAAGCAGGGAGACGTGATGGACCCCTCCAAGAGTTTCAAGGACAAGAATCACTCATTAAAAGGGTCAGACACAGTATGTCCCTGGGGCTAGAAATAAGTTGTAGCTTTATTAGGATACAGAAACATCAGTCAGATGTTTCTTACTGGCAGATCCACTTCTCCTTTCATTTCTTGACTCATAACATTGCCTCAAGCTGGAAGCAGCACTTCTTTAGCTGAACTTCTCTTGGGTTGTTGAATCTGCCTGTGGTCACAACTTGCTTGTCAGACACTGCCCATCAGAGTACTCCTAAACTGCAGGCCTGAACTCCAGTAAATAAAGGACTAATTTTTATAATGAAACCAGGAAATGGTAGATAAAAGTCAGTCAAATCCATTTCACTCCACATCAATGACTTGGTACAAGAAAGGGGAGAAAAATCTCTCCTTTCCCCTCCATGTTATGGGGGAGAGAAGGGAAAGGGAAGAAAAGCAGCTTGAACTGAAGTTACTGCATGACAAAAGAAGGGCTGCAAAACATTCTCAGATGGGGCTGCTGTTCTTATGTCCAGATGCTGCTCCAGCTCATATGAGAGTGACTCACAGCCTTCCATGTTATGCACCCTACATACCATAACACTCTAGAGCCAGAACATTCACCAGGATGAGTGTGTCTCCCCGAGTCAGAGAGCAGGTTTGGAGCCAAAGCAATTTGGGTGTTTCTGAGTTACACTGAGGTAACAAACGACCATGTCTGATGGAGGTAACAAAAGAACGTGTCTATTGATCAAGATAAAGCGACAAACTCATGAAAATCAAAGCTCAGGCACGAATTGACCCCTTCTTCTCTCACATCCCCCCCTCCCTTACCTTCAGATGGATGTAGCAGTCTTTGAGCTCGGTTTGTCTGACCAGGGGCCCCTCCACGGGCCCAAACTGCGTTCGCTTGGGGATGCGCCGTTTGGAGAAGACTCCTCCCAAAAACCTGTCAATGTAGAGCACCAGGGGCAGGCTGGCCCTGGCCCGGGTCAGCACGGGCCGGTTGGGGATGGGGTGCAGAGGGCCGTGCTTGGGGCACACCGAGGGGTGCGCGTTATTGCACTCCTCACACCCTGCACACAAAGGCAGAGAGGACACCGTCAGGCACGCGCACACACACACAGCTCACACACAGCCTCATCTCCCTCTAAACATCTTTGGCTCAGCTGGGGGAACATTATGTCAATGGTCTGTCTAGATTTTACAACATTAGAGGGGCAGCCTCCTGCAAAATGAAGAGCAAAGCAGTTCAGAGGCTTTACCCGAGACAGAATGTTGTCTTTTCAGTAAAGCAGCCCAAAGTGAGTCCAGCTTTCTGGGCATAAAGGTGTTTACTCATTATTGCTAAAATCAGAATTGCTTTCAACTCCATTTATCGATGGAGGAGAAACTGAAAAGGGGAGGGCAGGCAATGCACTAAATAATACTTCAAATGCTTACACAAATCATTGGGATCAAAGGGTCGAGGTGGATCTGGATCCCACTCATCCATGTCAGAGTCTTCCCCATCTTCATCCTCATCTTCATCCTCATCATCTTCCTCTTTCGTTTCTATCCTTTCCATCTGATTCTGCAGAGGTGCTAAAGGGTCAGAACCATCCACTGCCTCCATGGGAGGTAACACCTGGTTATGCACCGGTAATGATGCCTGGGGAAAGAATTCACAACCCATCAGCACTGACTCAGGAAGAAAACCACACTTACAAAGATGAGCAATGAAGGTCCTGGCTAGTCTACCCTTCCTGCTTCCTTTAGTAATGGAGAGAAGGACAAGGGGGAGTGAAGTGACTGATAAACTGATAAATGCTGAGGGATGTTTGGTGTTGTTGCTGCTGAGGCCTTGCTCAGGACACCTCTGTGTCACTCCCTGCCTCCACCCTGCCAAGAACTCGGTTCCCAGGAGAAGAAACTGAAATCAGGGAAACTCTGCACCCTCAAAGATCCAGGCTCTGTGGAAATTATCTAGAGCTTAAAGCTGTATTTTAACTTCTTCTGTACAAGTGAGAAAATCCTGCACTTTGGTACATGATCTTTTAAAACCAATCCCCAGAGCACACAGGCAGAGGTCAGTAAGGGATGAGGTAACACGGGGCCTAGATATAAACTAAGGGCCATGAAGGACAGTTGAGGGCATTGCATTCTTCCACTATTTTTCAAGTTTATCCCTTTCTTTCCCTACCAAAAAAAATTAAGTATTTAAAGTGCAGTGCATATTTCATCATCCACACAGGTTTCTCAGGTGGAGAACAAAAAATACCCCCAGTAAAGCTGCCTGAAAACACTGGCAAGGAGACCCAGAGGATGTTGCTGTGACAGTCAGCGTTACACCTTCTGTTAACTTCACTTTCCACCGCTGAGAGGAGAATTTTAAGGGGGTTGCTTGAGACAGAACCATCTGCACAACAGGTTCCTCTGTGTATTAAACACAGGATCTCTCCTAAAATCCCCCACACATTTCATGGTGAGACTATGGAAGACAGCACAGCTCTGTTCCTCACCCTCAGCCACGTGCCATCCCCTGAGACGATGGAGCGATGGAATCAGGACATGGAGAAGGAAAGGGTTGCCTGGCACTTACTCTATCTGCTTGTGGCCCCTGCTCCAGAGCCACGGGCTGGGGGGGGTCGGCAGCGCTGCCGAGCACGGACAGGTTGGTGGGGTTGATGCTCTGGGCAGCAGCAGGCAAGAGCACCGTTACCTAAAATCACAGGCACTCATTTTAGCACTGCACAGATCCACAGGGGCCCTGCCCGCCACTCCCTGGACACCACAGCACTGCCACGACCTCCGGGGTTTGAGGGAGGGATGATGGGCTTGGGAAGAACCTGCAGCTCCTCCGGGGGCAAAGGGAAAGGCTTTAAACCTCAGGGCAGACTTTGCAACTTCTGAATTACCTATCACCCATTTTTAAATCAAGGCCCTACCCAGCCTGGGCTGAAGTGGCACTAAAAGATGTGAGGAGCTCTTTAGCTCCTGGTAAAACCAGTGATTTGGGGTCTTCTTCTCTTCTACATACAACTTTACTTTTTTTTTTTTTTTTTTTTTTTTTTTTAAGGGAAAAAGCAAAAAAGGGAAAAGTGACATCTCCTCTTTTTTGCCTATCTTTCTTTTTTTCAAGCAAATCCTGCTCATGGCAGGGCGTTGGAATTAAATGAGCTTTAAGGTCCCTTCCAGTGCAAACTATTCTGTGATTTTATGATCCAGGATCCATTAAAAATGAATCCAAGATGGTGCATTGTCCTCACTGGAAGATCAAACTCTCAAACTAGAGGATTCCAACCCTTATTTTCCTGTACATTATTTGGCCACACTACACATTTCTGTTTACATACTTTTTTGGAGCAGTAACAACCAAATTAATGCCTATTACCACACTGTTCTCACACATTCAGCAATAAAACTGAGCAGAACTAAGATCCCAGGAATCACCTTTCCTGTCTTTTGTTTCCTTCTTATCTGTACAGGAATTTACACAGTTACCCCACATGATGTTTCATCCTTCTCTACAGCTGACATCATGTGGCTTCCAGTTTGTGCCTCTGACTGTTAAGCAGCTTTTACACTAAAATCCAAGCCCCTGCCTCTCTGCAGAGTGCTTAATAAATATCAGATAAAACTGAGTGCAGTGAATTGTGCCAGCAGTGAAGGAGCAGACAAGAAAATCCGTAACACAAGGAGACAATCTTAAAACTCCAAATCTGGTTGCTTTGTTTAAAGAGGTACTAAGAGTAATTTACGAAACTGCTTAAAAACTACAGCAAAAAAAGACTTCAGGGAGCAGTGTGATGGTATAGGGGACACCAAGATGACAGCTGAACTAAGCTGTCTGGTATTGACATTTCTGATGCCAAGAGGCAACAGGAAAGGCATTATTATTATTCCATGGCACAGTTCCAGGCTGCCAGCAAGGGGAGGGTCACACAAACTTGTACCTACTCTTAGCATTGCCTACTCCTAATCACACTTCAAACAGACCTTTACTTCCATGTCAGGCACTGCACAGAATGTAGGCATTATTTTTAGAAACCTTTCAATTTCTTTTTAAGATAAAGTTTCTTTCAAAAGTCAAGGGGAGCTCTCGTTGTTATTTTATCATTTGTTGTCAGTTCAGGGGTGTCCCATATGAAATGCTGATGTAAAAACACCTGCAGAGGCAGGAGTTGCCACAATAAGGGATTAACCAGCCACCAAAAAATGAATATATCTGCCAGGACTGATGTCAGAAAGTGCTGGAAGGAAGGACAGGCTGAGGACACACACAAGTGTTCCTGCCCTTGTACCTGATATGGTAACAGCACATCCGCTGTTAGAGTCTCATCTGCACTGCACACAAGTAATCTCTACTTTTAATTAATCATGTGCTAAATGAGCTTTAAGACACTTAAATAGGAATTTTTGGCTTCTATTAAGAAGCAGGGAAATTGATGTGGCAAAATATTGCAGAGAACCAGAAGAGAGGTAACACCTTTACTGTGTCAGTCATTGTTTCCTGTCTGGGCCTCAACAGTTTAGAAAGTCTTTCAGTAATAAAATCTGTTTTCAGCACACATTCAACCCTTCACTCTGCCCCAAGACTGTCAATAAACACCCATTTTAATGATGGTTTGGGTGATGATTCAGATCCAACACATCCATTCACACATGCCATCAAAGCAGTACCAATTTAAAGTCCATGACAGCAGAGAATTCTAACCAGAGAGACCTGGAAGCACCTGTCTATACCTCAACACACTCCCCAAAGATAAGTAAGAGTCAACAACAAAACCTTTGCATCCATGAGGCATTACAAATAAAAGAAAATCACCAAAACTCCATTTTATTCTATTCCCAGCCTACCTCACACTGGCAAGCCCAGCACACCCTGGAAAGGTAAGGGAGCCACTCACTGAACCTCCTGGGGTTTTACACTTCATTTGCTGTGAAGCTTCTGGTAAAACTAGAATTGGATCCAATTTTTCTATCCCTCAAGGGTCTTTTGTGGACTTCAAAGGCATTTGGATCAGAATCTGTATGAGGACAACTGCAATCCCAGCCTTTCCACAATGGCACGTTGAGGTAAAGTCAACCACATCTGCTGCTGACTCCTTTAAAGGGACACTCTTGAAAGATTTTTCATTCTATCTCGGGCAGTAAACTGGAATTTTTGTTGAGCATGAATTGAAGTAAATAAACTCAAAATCAATCTTAACTCTCATGACCATTCATGCACAAGCTGGCCATGGCAACCCTGGCTTTTTGCCCTTGATCGAGATGACAGGACATAACTGAAGACTGGTTTTGGACAATTTCAGGGACAGTCATTACCCTCCAGCACCACAACAATGTCCCTTTGCCTCCCTAACTGTTCCCTTAGAGCTTCAGGCCCAAGATAAACAGTGTCTCTTCCTTACCTGCTGGGTGGTGGCATCCTGTTGGACATAAGCCACTTGGGACGGATCTGTAAACAGAGTCTAGACAAAGTGAAAAAGGCTTATCAAACCAGCCCTGGTGCTGTTTGCTCCCAAGTCACACAAAAATCACCCAGTCACCAAGAAATGACCCACATTTAAGCCTCTGCCAACTTCTAAACGTGACTATTAGCACAGAACATTACTTCAACTTACCCAAGTGGATCTACACAGAGAAATTAAAATTGGGTGGTGCTCCACAAAAGTTTAATATCATAATTATGTGGCCCTTTTCATCTGTATAACTAAAGTGTTTCGCCTGGTTTATCTTTTTCAATTGCAGAAATCACTTTGTCAGTTGTTGATCTGACAGAATCTACAGGAGGCAATTCAAAAGCTCTACCAAAACTACTTAAGGGAAGGACAGAAGGTAAATGTGAGCTTTTTCTTCCTGCAAATTCACGAGACTTCTGCACACTTTCTTTTGAGGAGTCATCAGGCACATCCCACGTGCAAATTTAGTAAGGGCAGAGATATCCTCCTCAAATATCCTCCCAGGAGCTGGTTTTGTGTAACAGCTGAGGGTTGCACAGGACAGACCGTGCCACGAGGCCCTGCCAGCCTGGCTGGGGGTGTCAGGTACGTGCACTCTGCAGCTCTGCTAATCTGTCCTGTCAGCAAAGACATTACAAAACACCCTCCACAAAGCCAGCCTGGTCCTTTTGAATCTGTCCACACAGAGCCACACAGATGCACAGCATATTAACCCCATCCAAACACCGTGCTGTCAGGGAATAAAAGCTATTTGATGTGATTATGCAGGAGCAAAAGAATATAAAAGGTCTGTAAAATCAACAGCTCTGCAGAGAGACTACAAAATTAGGTGGAGCACACTGAGATCCTCTGCAAAGAGACACGACTGTTATTGTAACCATCAATTATGACAACTGTGCTACACAAAACAAGGACTCTTCCAGAAGGCACATAGATGGCTTCTAGCTTTTTACTGAATGCAACAGAGGCAGAATTTCTGGAGAGATTATCCATGTTTTGGAAAACACCTCTGAGCTAATTACAATCTCGTCCACCTTCGGTGAAATAACCAGCATTTCATAATTCCTAGCCTCCACAGCTTTTGATGAGCACATTTGCACATCAGACAAACGAACAGCATGAAGTCCCTGCTCAGCAGTGGGCAGGAAAAACTGCTATTTTCCAGTCGTACCACTTGGCTGGCAACTGGCTCTGATCCCAAACATCCCGGGTTTGTTTTCTAGGTGCCAAACCCGGGCCGGGCTGGGAACCACACACGTGCCTGCGTAGCCTCCACGGGGTGGATGTAAACGAGGGTGTGCTCCGAGGTGTCCACCGAGGTGTAGGAGGTGCCATCGGCCGTGTAAACCACCTGCTGGGCCGCGCCCCGCTCCTGCTCATCGCTGTACACGATCTGCGCCACCGCCCCCCCCTCGGGGACGAAGTGCACCTGGGGGGAGAAAAAACACGTCCTGGAGTGACACCACAGCAGGGCTGGGGGACAACACAGCCTGCCCTGGAAAGCAGGGAGAGCCTGGGCTTGAAATATTCTGCCTTGTAACTCAACTGGTATAAAAGGCACCCACTCTACTTAGTTCTTGCACTATGAAGAAGAGAAGCAGCTCATCTTTGAACTGCAGTATCTACGGAATTTATTGGTGTGTTGTTTCCCTTTATGCTCATATTCCTTTCTGGATTTATGATAACGACTTCATTCAGCTAGTTCTGTAGTTGCAGATGATTTCTTTTATCTTATGGAGGGCTAACAGAACTTATTAACTCTGATATTGCTTCAAGTCATAGCACTGCACCTCTCAGAGGCAGCAGTAGGGCATGTGAGATGTTTCTCTGTAGCATGTACAGGAGAAAATTCAGCTATTTTAACAGACAAACATGGAACTCAAAGCATTAAGCAATGATTCCAAGGACTACTGAAACAAGTTATGTCTAGGGCAGCAGTTTAAATCCCAACAAGTTGATTCTGACAGAACATTATGATCGTAAATGATGATTAGTGGCCTACATTAAACAAGCCAGAATATTGAATTCCAGTGGAAATAGGAACACATTTAGCTTTTGACATCCTTTATATGCTGAAAACCTTTTTCAGTGTGCAGGAAAATAGGACAGTTAGCAGGAAACCCAGTTTGAGTATCTGTATTCACATTCACATCAAACACTTTCACATAAAACGATGCCACAGTTCCATGTTTTGTTTATTTTGCTTCACCTTTCAGCTTATGCTGCAGGAGACACCTGGTACTCCCCTGTGGCTGCTCAGTGCTGATTCTGTACAATAAATCCTCACGCAAACACTCCAGTTTCACATTTGGAGAGCACTCTGCAAATACTAATTAAGCCTTAAAACTGCTGTGTGCAAACAGCAGCATGGTCATCCCCTCGTAGAGAGAGAGAAGGGAACAGGAGCATCGAAAACTGCCTTTCTTGGCAAATTTCAGAGCTGGAAATTACCAGGAGAGGCAGAATGTCTCGGCTTGGGGGTCAAATGCCACGCAGCACCCTCTTCATTACGTACTTAAAAGAACAAATCAATTTACAGCCTTCTGGAAATTCCCAGCTGCGCTGTCTCAGAGTCAGAGGGACGAGCTGCACGCACCAGGATCTGACTGCATTAGTCACTTACAATTAACATTTCTCCCTTCCTCAGTACCCAGATGTCCGACAGGAAAAAATTATTCATTACTTTCCCCAAGGTCCACCCACAGCTCCAACTGATTCGACTGATGCCATCAAACAGGCTGCCACAGACCACAGATTTTGTTAATGTGCATGACTCTGAGCACCCTTTCACTTTCCCACGTGGTTATATGCATATATATATATATATATATTTGGACACTGAAACTTCTAGAGCCACTGGCTGGTTTCGTTCAGTTCATTTTTAGAGCTCTGTGCCTTCACTGCTGTGGTTTGCACAGCTCAGTTTCTGAAGCTTTAACCTGAAATCACCACAGATATGTTTGTATTTCTCCTCAAATAAAAGCTGAGCTTCCATAATCTAAGCCAGGGTCAGATGGGAACTAAACCTCCACATCAATCCCAATCCATCCTGAGCAGAATGAGCTCTGAAAAGCACTGATCACCTGAGCAGTGTTCTGTTCCTGTGCTGCAGACTCAGCCCACACCTGGGAACCTTCCTCTTTCAAGTCCATCTCCTCCCTGCTGGGGTGTTCCATGAGGAGAGAGATCTACTGGAGGAATGCCTGGCTGCAGGGATTCATCTGTTCACTGTGTTTCTGCTTCCAGAAGACAAGGTGATCTTCAGCAACATGGCTGCAAAAAAGCAGAGGGCAGCAATGTGAAAACCAGTGTGAGGTGATTGTTATCATCAGCTACCACACTCCTGTACCAGGCCTGGCTTTACAAACACCTCCTTTTAGACTCAAACACCTTAGTGAGGGGAACAAAGGAACAGAAATCTTATCTCATTCACCATGGGCAAGTCCTGCTGTGCAGCACTTCCCATGTCCCACTGAGGAAACAAGTCAATCACTGCTGCAGCAGCACTGAAAGGTTACACTGAATTCTCCCTGCACATTCTTCCTTGGCCACAGGCAGACCATGACACATTCACTGTCCTTCTGGCACCCACAGGCCTAGAAATCAATAAATAATGCAAAAAATGGACCCTAGGCTTCCAACAGGAAAACACCACACTCAGAGATGCATGACCAGTTTGCCAGAAAGAGGTTTAGGGGGAGCACAAAAGGGCTTTCCATGAACAGGCAGCTTTCACCTTGGCCAAAACCACAGCCCTGGGTGGTACAAGGCAGTGCTAAAACAGCCAACTTCTAAAAAAAGAGCAGTGAAACTCAACCTCTAATTCACAGGAGCCCCAAGATCCTGACAAACTGCTTCCAAGCTTGATTTTATTCACCTCTCCCAGTTTTATTGGGGCCTCTCAATCTGCTGTTGGGATCCCAGCAGGGTAATTTACAGCTCTGGTGATTGCTTTCGTCGGTGGTTCAGCACCTTCCCAATCCTTCCCCTCTAATGTCATATTAAATCACAGGAATTAGCATGAGGCTGAGCCCATTTAATTTCTCAGCAACTCCAATTAAGTTTATTTTATAGCCAGTGACTCTCTGGGCTGATCCAATGCCAGTACCAGCCTGTGCTCCAGGAGGGAAGCAGAAGGCTCCTTGCTGATGCTTTCATTCATTTGCATTTTAAATGCAAATTATTTTAGTCATAATTTATCCCTATAAATGTTAGCATTTGGCTTGTCATTGACAAACTGAAAAATAGATAAGGAGGGGTAAAAAAAGCAGCAGGCACTTTCTGCCTCCTGCTAATTTTACCAGCAAGGACTGAGCTGTGCAGACCTGAGCACTGACTGTTCCACCAGTCCTGACCAGGGATAAATCAACAGGACAGGGAAGTCTCACAGTGGAGGGAAAAAATGGGAATAAAGGGACAGAAATCTTATCTCCATCGATATTGCTCAATGCAAAACATCCCCAAAAAGCACCGAGGAGAAAAATTAAAAAGAAATCCGTGTACCTGAGAGCAACGCTTGAGCTCAGGATCTCATTAGTACCAGCAAATTAACCACAGCAAACAATTAGGGGGGATAAACATCAGCCTTGCTCTGCAAGTGTGAAAGCCAGGGTCATTCACAGATAAGTATTATTAGATAAATATCATGTCCCAGAACACACAAGCTCTGATCTATAAATAAATATCGTCCATCCCTACACAGCACCTTTTATCCAGCTCCTTGTCACGTTATTGAGGATTAAATCAGGGATTTTCTCATACCTAATCCTACCTCATTCACTGACCTCCAGCACTCATTTGATCACCACTGTGTGACACATGAAGGCATTTATGTCACTAACACACTCTGAGCAACTTTTATGGAAAATTTAACACCCATCCTCTTGATATTCTTTGGTTGGTTGATCCCAAACAGCTCTTTTCCTTAATTGTCAGTATTAATCAAGAGCCAATCCAGATAATTGCACTAACAATAGCCAGTGGTTTGATCAATTACCTAATTGCTTAGAAAAATAAAAATAAACACTGTAAGTTTCAATTTTGGGTGGCTTGATTTAAAAAAAAAAAATAATTAACCTGTTAAGAAGAATATAATTAAATTAACCAGTGATTGAATTAAGGGAAAGGCACAGTTCTGGCTAATTCCACGTGGTGTAACAAGTAGCAGAATTTTTGGCTGACCTTCCCCACCAGCAGACACTGAAGGGCTGAGGGAAGATGCTGACTCACTCCTGCAGACTCATTTTGGCACAGATAACTTACAACTTCACTGCAAAGGAGACCAAAGGCTTCAGGCAGGGTCTTTATTAGACAAAACGGGGCATTAAGATTCATCTCTGGAAAAAAAAAAAATAGTACCAAAGAGTCGCAAAGGAAAGCAGAAGACAGTCATTTCATGGTTCTGAAAGTCAGCACTCATCGCAAACCTTGGGGAAAAAAAAAGCAAGGCTGAGCCAACTTCAGGGGCTCGGTGGTGGAGTTTCTGTAAATGGTCCTGTTAGTGCTGTTCTTCACAGAAATGACAATAATAAACAGCTCAGCCAATTGTGCAGCAATAAGGGACAGCATCACGAGCTGCAGGATTTGCTGATGCTTTCGACTTCTGTACTTCCAAACACACCCCAGATCTGCCTCTGGTGGGCATTCCTACCAAAGCCTGGGTCTCCATGAGTTCCATCAGCATTTCCCTGGAAACAGGGATGTGCTGAGAGGGAGGAGTGCAGAAGACAGGCTGTGTCCCAGAGAGGTCCCAAGGGCTGGCAACAACGAGCACAGGAGGCAGGAACAAGCGTTGATATTGAAACAAGCCCAAGGGCAGGAGCTGCAAAACATGACCAAGTCACTGCCACAGAACTGCCTGGAAACACCAACACCTGAGGGAGTTTTCCAACGCTGATGACAAAGACCAAACTAACTTTTCCCACTACTCCTCCACAGGAGTAACCAACTCCTGCTGTTAATCCTGCAGGATCTCATTTCCCCCCCTAAATCCCCCTTTCAGTGCTCATTACAGCTCTGACAGCAACAACCACAGCCCCTCAAACCACTTCCCTGGGAGTTCCTCTCAGTTTTGGTGGTTTTGCAGCAGAAATAAACTTGGAACTTTGGGCATAAGCACTGCCAAAATGTTGGCATGCAGGGAGCACCCTCTGCCCTGTTTGCCCATGGATTATCCTTTGCAGTTGTTGATTTTTCTCACCATATCCCACACACATCAGACATTTTCAGACAAGCTAAACAAACACTAGGACAAGCACCTCTGCTATGTCCAAAGGATTACCATATGAATTTGTACAACAATTCGAAACCGAATTGCAGAAATCCTACAAGAAAAAAAAAGATAATTAAAGATAAAAGGAGCTGTGATAGGATATACTCAGCTTTTTCCCAATATGGAGAAATTAGGCTATATGTTGTAATAATAATCCATGTAGAAATTAGCCAAACAATAAAGCAAACAGCTTGCCTAAACTAATGTTAAATTTCTGTGTTATGTATGTCACACCTATATTCTCTCTCCTGGGTTCTGATCCACCGGTAATGACACTATAACATTTGAGAGGCCTGGCTCAAATATTATTTAATATTCCATCATTTTTTGTCGTAACAAGTATTTCAATAACTTGGAAATGCTGGAATTTGAAAGATTAGTCACATTATGAGGCACACCACCAACAATTCTGTCAGCACCTCAACGTTTTCATCCAACCTCACAAGCATCACACACGACCGAAAGCGATGCCAGTGTGAGATGTTAAACCATTTACAACAACTGCAAAGACAGCATCCACCTCCCCAAAACAGCAGGCATGCCTCTCCCAGTCCATGCTGGGTGATTGCACAAGCTGAAATGGTAGCAGGTATAAATATCTCCCAGCATCACTCCAGTACGTCAGAGTGGAGAGGCAGTGACAGTCCTGTGTGTCACCGGTGTGAAGCAAACACAGGGTGAACCAAGAGCCAGCTCAGCTCCCAGGACTTTGAAATATCTCCTCCAGTGGAAGATTAGCTCATTCTGAGCTGTGCAAGTAAATCAACCACCCCTTCAAGACAAAGCAGGTTGGTCTCTGCACCATTCACATTTACCTTCCCATTCCCTACCCAGTAGAAATGTCCTTCCTGCCCTCAGCATCAGACCCCCTGAGCCACCACAACACCCACGTGTGACACCCCACACGTGCACCCACGACCCCCCAGTGGCAGTGAATGGTGCTCTAAGAGAAAAACACGAACAGCACAGTCACTGCTGTTTTGTGTTCAGTGCCTGAGTGTTTTGGACACGAGCTGAACCCAGTGAACTCGGGCAGTGCTTCAAAGGAAAGCTCTGAAACTCAGAGAAAAGCACCACCAAAAAAAAACCCCAAAAATCAACAGTAACCATATTTTCTTGGCTATTAAGGAATGGCAATTTCTTTCGATGCTACAACTACACAAGAAGATACAGAGACAACATCTCTGGGGACTTCATCTGCAGCAACCTCTGCAAGTCTCACTAAGGACATTCTACTGAGTGGCTGCAAGCACTTGTTTTTGCCTCTTCTCTGGGAGGGGAAGAATGGGGGAATATTAAAGCTGAGTGAGGGGCACAGTCCCCCTCCCTCCTCAGGGAGCCAAAAAGCCACTGCAGTGTCTCCAGTGAGAACCCACTTTACAATAATGGTGCACAAAGCAGATAATGTGATTTACTCCCTGGTGTAAAGGAGGTTTGCCATCACCTGGGGTTCCCTGCAGCAATATCAGCAGGGACTATCAGTTTAATCCTCCCAGGACTGAGCTCACTGACCACCCAGCCATGTGCAAAGGCAGCAAAATCGGCACAAAAGGGGCTTTACGACTCTGGGTCTTCCTCCAGCTTTTAATATGATTTATTGTGCTCCAAAGGAACATGCAGAAAGCTTTATCCCACACTTAACTTAATTACCCCAGCTTGCCTAGAAGGCAGAGAGGGTGCATTTCCTGAGCTCCCTTGGCAGGAACAGGCTTTGAGTGCAGCAGGAAGGGTTTGAACCTCAGTGAGGACTGAGTCAGGACTGCGTCACCTCCTCTGCAGCACCATCCATCACACACACACGCATATTGTTTCAAGGAACTCTGGCTCTGGGGCATTTTGCTGCAATGGTAACAAGCAGGTAATGTATAACCACAACATTTATGCTTTACTGGTGAGTTAAAAGTGGAAATCATGCATAGGGGTTGGGACAGCAAGGATTATTTATTGCCACGAAAGGAAAAATGGCTTCAATTTATTTAGTCGTGTAATAAAGAGAAGAGCTCAGCCAAACACCAGCTCAGCCTTTACTCCAACTGTGCATAATGGATCTATCTATACCCATATCCTTATGGCACATCCATCATGAGAACAGCAACGAGCTGGAGGAGAACTCTGAGATCACTGAGGCCAGTCCTGTCCTGCTGTGGTCACTGTGTCACAGGGACAGTGCCCAGGCACCAGAGGTGACAGCACGACAGCCTGATGGAACTGTTCTCACACCCTGCGAGGTAGAAGCTCATTTCTACCACAGAATCCAGGAGGGACAGCTTAACATTCCTGGGGACTCGGCTTAGACACCTCCTCAGAGCCACTCTAAGGATGTTCAGTCCCAACTCTTGCCTAACCAAGTTTCCCACGATACCTCCTCCCTCCGAGTGGGCAAAGACAAGGTCATGAGTCACCTCTCCTCCCATTTGCTCAACATCTACACATCCACTCCACCTGACCCCTTTCTCCCACCCTCAGCTTCCCAAATCCATGACCACGTTCTCCACGTCGCTTTTTCTCCCCATGTTTCATCTTCTGTGATACCACAGTGTGCTGTATCACTGCTCGAGGCACCAACCCTGCGTTCCTGAACTTGGCTTATAAATGACACAGAGAGAAGCTGATAAAGCAAGAGAACAGGGAAAACATGTATTTTGAAGTACATGACAAGAAAAAAAAAAAGGAAAAGAAATGTCTGTATCAATGTGTGCTGCAGTGCTGCCCACGCAGCCTTCGAGAAGGCACGCTCAGGGTTTGCTGGAAGAAAACAAACTGTTCCCCTCCAGCTTCCTCCTGCCACTTGTCTCGCATCTTTTCCTCCTCCAGCAGCTCTTCCCAAAGGTTCTGGCAACGGAAAGGGGTTGTTCCCCTTCCTACAAGTGGATGGTGCCGCTCCCTTTCCCACGCCCTTGCACCTCTCATCTGAGTTAAATCACTCCTAAAATTCAAAAGACAAAACTACCTTGTTCCTGCCCATGAAAACCACACCTAAGCTGGCTCCTTCAGAACAGCTGCTTCTCCGACAACAAATGGACTATCTGCACCTTAAAACAGGTGAGCACTGAGATGGAGACATCTCGGGGCTACAAACACAACTTCTGTGTGTTTTACTGGCAGCAAATAAAAGTGACAAATAGGCCCGACCTCCTGTTTAAGCCCAAACAAAATTCACCATACAAAAGCAGCCCCCCTAATTAGCTACACTTTAAAGTCCATTAGAATTCAGTTTACACAGCTGTAAGCAGCTGCAGGTGGTCATGAACACACTTGAAGTGGCTGCTGACTGCAAAGAAAATTGCCCTGGCAATGCTCATCCCGGGATTTTCTGTGCAGGGCAGGAGTAAGAAGACACCACAGACCCGTTCCTCTCTAAAATCAAATCGTCAATTATTCCATCAGATAATATTAATAACAATGACAGCGATATCTCATTCTCTGGCCAAGGTAATAAAGCTGTCTGCTTTCACAACGTAGCAAAGTGCCAAAACCCCTCTCAGTTCAGGAGATAAGTTTTCCATTTAAGGACTGACTAGAGCAATACACCCTCTTGTATTATTTTTCCTAGAAATGAAGGCATTAGAAGGCTCGAGTCTGCCAATTATTTTATTGTGGCCACAAAAGCAGCAAAGAATCCTCTTGTAAAATCAGTTGGTGATTCATTAGCATGTCATCTTCTAACTGAACTAAAAGAAAAAAAAAATAACTGAATTATTAAAAATACACAGAAGAAAGCTGAAGTTCAGTATGGTCTGTATTCCCACTGAAACTCAAAGAGAAGTCCTGACAGGCATTTTACACAACCATTTTCGTGCTTTTACATTCTTTAAGGGCCTGTAAGCACCACAAATATATCATGATACAACAGACAAGTTGGTGCTCAGGCACCAAAAAATGCATTGCAAATACTGACCCTTCATTCGTCAGGACTGTGGAGCTCAGTAGCTTTAAACCAGGTTTAAATTCTGATTTAGGGTTCCTGCAAGAGTCCTCCTGAGGCTCTGCAATGAACATCTAAGACTTAAGAGGTGACCACACATAGCTTGGAACGTCTTGTACAGTGAAATAACCCTATAAAGGTGAGTTTTCCCTTTAGGATGAGTAACTCTGCGAGGCACAGCACCGGAACTTCATTCTTCCACTCCAACTTAATCATTTAACAAGATCCCACAAATTTTTAATGGAACCCTGGAGATTCAGGAGAAGGAACAAGACAATCCACCACCAAAACCCAGGGAGCAAGAGATGCACAGAAAGCTACGTGCTATAACCACATCCCAGGCCTCAGGAACGGGGCTTGTGGCAAAGACAACCACAGTGGCACCAAGACCAGCATCGGGAGAGCAGTGAGCCCACAGCTCCCACCGGCAGCAGCTGCTCCTGCTCGCCCCGAGACCCTCATGGACGGAACCCCCTCAGGGCAG